TAGTTTATTTAGGAAGAGATCCCTGGAAGCAGAAATGAAGTTCCAGAAAAGTACAACAGGTAAGAAATGAAAACTAATACGAGGATATGCTCTTTGCCATTGTTACAATTGACTGGTGCCCCAACTCACTGGGACCATCTATGGAATCTTAAAAGTGTGTCTCAGAAATGTCTGCCTGGTAAATACAAGAGGACATATTTATCCTTGAGTTCCTACCCTCCACAGTGGTCAAAGGTGGACTTAGATGGCATTAGCTCCTCAGCACTCCTGGTTTGTGCAGTACCATGAGTCAGAGAAGGCCCTGGACAGACAAGGAGAAATATCCCATCACAGACTGGAGCAAAATGTAGTCAGATGTTACTACATTGCCAACGGCCAGAGACTGTCTCAGAACAAATCATTTAATGACTGAGCAAGAGATATGGCCCAGAAGATGTGCACTATTTTCTAGAAAGTGTAAACTATAGATTTCCAAATGAAATATCTTCTATCTGGTTATTCTTCTAGAAGAGAACAGTTTTGCCATCTCTTTTTTGATTAATCTTTTCATTATAATCAAAATGTAAAGTTTTTTTTTGCTTTCTTAAAGAATCTCTAATAAAATATATGCTGCATATGAATCACAAGGATGCTTTTATTATTAATGGAGTAATAGAAGGGAGAGAGGGAAGGGGGAAGGGGGAGAGAGAGAGAGAGAGAGAGAGAGAGAGAGAGAGAGAGAGAGAGAAAGAGAGAGAGAAAGAGAGAGAGAGAGAGAGAGATTTTCCAAACTATTTTAAATGTTAATTACATAGGAGTGTTCCTTTTCAGCACTGAAAATGATTATATTTTAACAGAGCCTAGTCTGTTAATTTTAACTACTTTAAATAGAGAATTTCTAGCCAAAAGATCAGGATGTAATATATTATTACAACTACTCTTTAGCAATGATAATTTGTATATGACATCACTTGGTATTAGCTCTAAAGGTGTTTTCCAAGTGACTGGGTACCACAAACCCCAGCATGAGCACTATTTTAATAATACTGTATATCTGGCACTGCTGGCTTCTGTTCTGTTTGCTCTTTATATACGAGCAAGACAAAAGACAGTGCCAATATTCTTTATTATTATTTGTTGAGTGTCTGCCAAGGCGGGACTCTATTAAAAGCTCTGGAGACACAGCAGTAAATGAAACAGGCAGAAGCCCCTGCACTCGTGGGGCTCACATTCCTCAGGGCAGGCTACTACTCCGGGGCACCCAGTTGCATGTGGATGCCTTTCAAGAGAGGCTGGGTATTATTTGATATCATGTTATGCTGACACCACCATGAGATGCTTCATTTTGAAGTAGACATTTTTCTCCCTTCAAAGTCCTACTTTGGTACTGTTCCTTTTTAATATAGAGTGGGTGGAATGGCCCTGGAACTGTGGCTAAACCGTTAAATTCTCTATTTCAATGTGCTGATTTTGACAAAAAGTTGCACTGCACAGTTGCGAATGTTGTATGTTTAAAAATTCTTGACTTGGTAACTTTGCTACTAAAGTAACTATGCTACGTTCCTGAAAATAAGGATTCAACCTTTTCTGCTCTTAGATACATGTAAAATGTGATGGGTTTGGATGACCTGACAAGCTTACAAGCAGCTGCCTCTCTCTTCTTCACTTTCCGCTATCACACTCAGTGGGATGTTACAGAAATTGCATACATAGTTGAGCAAAATAGCTTTGTTAGATAGTGGGGGGAATTTGGTGTTGACATAGATGAGTGGCTGCGCTCCTCTTTCATCTTATTCAGATGGGTTTTTTACCTTCTGCAGTGGGATTGCTCTGTTGAATATGTGTTATTGTGTTTTATAATGTCGGTCAACACCTTTTCCAATATTATCCACAATGGAAAAGGAGAGGGGCCATGGGACATTGGGGCACATCGGTCCAATGGCTGCTTTTGTTTAAAAACATTTTTTTAAATGTATAATCAATGAAAAGACATATGACTCCTTTCCCTTATGATCTACATACAATAACCAGTCCTTCTGTGCTACTAACATTTTCTATAATACAGCCTTGACTACTTACTGCTGTTCATGTCAACATGAAAATTCCAACCCAAACATGTTTCTTACTGAATAATCTATTGCAACCTAAGCTCCCACTAGGCTATGTTTCTTTCAATATCTTAGAAGAAGATAGGAATACAGAGAGAGAGAGCAGGAGAATAAAGGGTGTCAAAATGTTAATGATTTTATTTAAGTGAAGCTCATATGAGTTTATTGTCAGATTCTTGTAATGTTTCTATACTTTGAACATTTTTTTGTAAATGTGAAGCACAATTTAAATTTTTTTCTGGAAAATAAATTTCAATAAGGAGTAAAACAAAAAGGGGCAAGACCTATGAATAAAAAAGACTAAGAAACATCAGGTGATGCTAATGTATGGACCTTATTTGAATCCTGTTTTGAACCAATTTGTTTAAAATATTAAACAATTGTAGTTATTTGAACACACTGAATTTTTTATGATTGTAATTTTTTATGATGTTTCTTTATATGTTTTAGGTCTGATATTGGTTTATATGTTTTGTGATGATTTTTTTTGAAGTTCTATTTTAGTGATACATACTGAAAGATTTGCTGATAACATTATGTGAACTTGGGAATTTCCTTAAAAATTATTGAGGACAAAGAAGACAGTGTGAGATAGGTTAGGATAAGATAAAACAAAGTTACCTTGAAGTTGATAAGTGTTGAAGTTGAGTGATGGGTGTGCGAGGGTTATTATACTTTTCTAATTTTTTTTTATGCTTAAAAGGTTAAACATAAGCAAATGCTATGGACCAGATTATTCACGTTCAAATATGGAGTGCACATTCCTACCTGTAATATGAGGATATGTCTAGAATATACATCTCTAGAATTTTAATCAGGAGTGAATGAGTTAATACATACAAACTCTTTCTTACTCAAAGACGACTCTAAACAAGCCCTGAATAAATGCTAGCTGTCATTTTTAGATTTGTTTTTTCTCTTCAGATCTAGGCAGAGGCTAATATTGTTGAAAATGCAATTTACCCAAGAATCTCAGTTTGCTCTACTCAAAGATTTACCACTTTTGTGAAAAGAATAAGGAGGACACAATTATTGCTTCTCTGGAGGAATATCAATCTTAGGAAGAAAAAAAAAACAATAACCAAATATTTAGAGAGAGGAAGTAGCTTAAATGTAATTATAATTAATGGGGAAAAACAACTAGTTTGCAAAGCAATTGCTGTTCAAGAATATTGTTTTGAGAGCTAATTCAGCTTTGAACCACGAATTATTGCCATTTTAATATAACTCATGTTGACTGGAATTTTATCTCTGCTTCACACACTTTAGCCATGAAATTAGAGTACTTAATTTTTGTTTCATTTAAATTGGCTAATCCACAAGTTATTATTTTGAAGATTTTATAAAAATTCATTAAGCAGTTTATATCTATATGACTCATTTTCAAATTTTTAAACTAGCCTCTTTTTATCATATTAGCAGTTATCAAAAATAATAGAAAATATTCCACAAATATACTGAGAAATGGTAAATTTATTAAATGAATGGAATCATATGAACAATTTAAATGATTTTGAAATGTATCACCTCTTGTTATGCAGTTGATAAAACTAATAAAACATAACAATAGATCACTGTCTTTAAAGTGAGAAAGAGGGCTCTGTATTTATAGATTATGGCAAATGTATGTATCCATTACCTGTAGGCATAGTACAAGGTATACATACAAATTATGGTGAACATTATGGTATGGGGTGTGTACACAAATATATAGTATAATAATTTAAGGCAAGTATTTGTCATTCATTAAATTACAATTAATAAACCATTTTTAAATTTTGTAGAATTAATTTAAACATTCAGGCTATGAGTTCTTTCTAGCCTCTATATTTGGTAAAAGGACAATTGTCATTGCAACAGAGAGAGCTGTACATTTCACTCCACATCCCAGTGTCTGAGAGAGTGAGTGTCTTAGAGTGGCATATATGAGTCCTAAATATATAATTATTTTGAATTTTAAAGCAGTAAATATGAGAGAATCTGTGATGAGAAACATAATATAATATATTCTATGGTAATAATTGAAGTTTGGGTCTTCATATCAACACTTCAGGGAAAGACTTGGACAATGTTTCAACATGTAAAATGTACTCATGTCTGGCAATGGTAAAATTTAGGGTGGGATGAAATAGCAAGTAAATTTAGATTTAAGAAAACCTAAAAGCCACAGTCAAACATTTTGCGATTTTATGCTTTGTAAATGAAATCTAATGGTAACTGACTACATTTTTAATCTTTTCTGGGATTTGATTATATAGCCATCTTTATTTATGATGAAAGTAATCTGCTTATACAGTTCAATCTTTTTCAGTTTAAGCAAAGAACTAGCAGAAAAGAATCTTATTTTTTGAAGATTATATAATATTTGAAAGTTCAACATAAATGGATATGAGTCAATATGAAAACATTTATCAAATTAAATCTAGTTGTGATGAATAAGTTCCTATATAGATATTTAAGGCAACAAACAAAGATGTCAAACTTGAGTATCTGTGCACCCCTATGGACATCATCAAACAAGACACATTTTAGATGTTGTTCAGAATTTAGAAGTTTTAAGTTAACTAAGCCATTGCCCAAAATCTATAGTTGAATCAACATGGCTATAAGATTTTCATATTTTGAATGCTAACATAGCATAGGAAATTGTTCAAGCAAGAGCTTCTATTTCTTTTAATGGTTTGCTTTCCTTCTTGTTATTTCTGCTATTTGTTTCATCATTTGTTTTGGATTCTCCTGTTAATCTTTTGGGTTTTTTTAACTAATAATTTCTTCTAATTTGGTTTGCTGGCATTTGCTTTATTGTGCTCTTTGTAAATTCTATTTTTAACTGTAATTATTATACTAGTTGACAGAACAAAGTAAACTCAGGGGAGAACTAATTGCTTCCTTCTTTGAAATTTTATTTTTTAGGACTATGCTGAGAAGGAGAACACAATAGCAAAAGCTCTAGAAGATCTCAAGGCCAATTTTTACTGTGAACTCTGTGACAAGCAGTACTACAAGCATCAGGAGTTTGACAATCACATTAATTCATATGACCATGCTCACAAGCAGGTAAGAAAGAAATGTCCAACAATATCTGTTATTTCTGAAATTTGATAGTAATTTTAATTCTGTCGGCTGTATGAATATGATATTTGTGTTCATTTTTTCTTTGTTGTACAGTTTTTAAAGATCTCATTCTAGAATGATGATTTGATGACCTATAGCAAAAGACAGTTTTTTGTTAGTTTTGTTTTTTTAAGTACCAAAGGTAAGGCTTGAAATAAGCAACTGACACAAAGATGTGCTATTCAATTGCATTTTAGCAATTGCCAGTGTTTTGAAAATTATATTCTGTAGATGGTGATCCTCTATATATACTTCAAAAGTATTAAATTTTAAATATTTTAATCAACTAATGATATTTATCAAATATAAGTGAATTTATTCGTAGCTGTTTTTATAAAGCATTTGCCAATTTAAGCTACCATAAATCATGAAAAAAACAATGGTTTGGTATAGTAAAAATAACCAAGTGTTATTGGTTATTATAAATAACTACTTAAATGTATATAACTTATTTTAATATTGTTTTCATTTTTCTATCATTTCTAAATGCAAGACTGATTTTTTTCAACACTCTATGTAAAGATGAGTTTAAAATAGGGATGATGTCAGAAGTGAATTTAATAATACAGAATAATACAGATTCCATTTTCTTATTACTTTACATATATCAAAGCAACTTCACAGATTGCTTAGCCAGCTGGATATGATACAGCAGTCTTAGTTATCAATTTATAAATATTTGTATTTTTAACTATACTCACAAATATCTACAAATCATTTTGGTATAAAAAAGATAGTTTTTAAATTAAATTTATCAGTGTGACATTGATTGGTAAAATTGTATAAGTTTCAAGTGTACAGTTCTATAATACATCATCTACATATTGCATTGTGTATTCACCACCTAGAGTCAGTTTTCCTTCCATCACCATATATTTATCTCCCTTTACCCTCCTCTACCATCCCCCTACCCCCTTACCTTCTGTTAGCCACTGAACTGTTGTCTGTACTTATGAGTTTTTGTTTATCTTCTTTATTGCGTTCAGTTTTATATTCGATATACAAGTGAAGTCTTATAGTTCTTAATTTTTTCTGTCTGAATTATTTCACTTAGCATGATAATTTCAAGATCCATCCATGTTGTTGCAAATGTCAGTATTTCATCTTTTCTTATGGCTGAGTCACATTCCATTGTGTATATGTACACCTTCATTATCCAGTCATCTGTCAAAGGACACTTCAGTTGTTGTTCATGTCTTGGTCACCATGAATAATTCTGCAATGAACATAAGGGGTTGGACAATTAAGTTAATGAACTCATCCTAGAGTAACTGCTACATAACTTATTGATGAATAGCACTATGGTCACCTTCGAAGTACTCCCCTTGGGAAACTATGCACCAACGCCAGCACCTAGTCCACCCTTCAAAGCAATTTTGGAACTCTTTCTAGAATGACCATAAGAGCTGTCATCGTATTACCCTTGATATCCTGAATGTCATCCAAATGTCTTCCTTTCAATATTTCCTTTATCTTCCAGTAAAGAAAGAAGTCATTGGGGGGCCAGATCAGTTGAGTAGGGATGGTGTTCCAATACAGTTATGTGTTTACTAACTAAAAACTCCCTTACAGACAGTGCCGCATGAGCTGGTACATTGTCGTGATGCAAGAGCTATGCATTGTTGACGAAAAGTTCAGGCCGCCTAACTTTGTCATGGAGCCTTTTCAGCACTTCCAAATAGTAAACTTGGTTAACTGTTTGTCCAGTTTGTCCATTCATAATGAATAATCCCTCTGATATGAAAAAAGGTTAGCAACACCATTTTGACTCTTGATTTGGACTGACAACTTTTTTGGTCATGGAAAATTGGCTGACTTTTGTTGTGCACTTTGACACTTTGTTTCAGGGTCCTATTAGTACACCCATGTTTCAATGCTATTGATAACATAGCCCAAAACATCGTCTTGCCTCTCCAAAAGTCTTGGCAAACTTCGACTCTCCTTTGCTTTTGTTCATCGGTGAGCTTCTTCAGGACCATTTTTGCACACACCTTTCTCATGCCAACATTTTCAGTTAACATTTTCCTAACTGTTTCTCTATGAATGTTTACTTGGTCTGCTATGCTTCTCACAGTCAGCCGATGATTTTGAGGCACAATTTGACAAATTTTTGCAATGTTTTCGTCAGTTCTGCTCATTATTGGCCGCCCTGATCTCTCTTCATTAGTGACACGTTCTCTCCACTCAGAAAAATGTTTAATCCATTTATACACTGCCATTTTCTTCATGGCATTATCCCCATATACTTGGACTAACATATCCCTGATTTCACTTCCATTCTTGCAAAATTTAACACAAAATTAAATGTTTGTTTGTTGCTCTATTTCAAGCTCAGACATTCTCGCGATGGCACACAAACACACACAACAATAATTAACGCCACTCAGCAAGACACCGCCACACGTCAACACAAACACAGCTGTGAGACACTGATACACCAAGGTTATGAAACCTTACCGAGCTGTTTGTACAGTGCTGCCAATGTAAGGACATGGTGGCAAGTCCACGTACCCTCATATATTTTTACAGATAAATATTTTCAGATTTTTTGGGTAAATACCCAGAACAGGGATTGCTGGGTCATTTAGTAATTCTATTATTAATTTTTTGAGGAACCTCCATACTGTTTTCCACAGTGGCTGCTCTAATCTGCATTCCCACCAGCAGTGTATGAGGGTTCCTTTTTCTCCACAGCCTCTCCAACACTTTTTATTACTTGTCATTTTGATAATAGCCATTCTAACTGGTGGGATCTCATTGTAGTTTTGATTTGCATTTCTCTAATAGCTAGTGAAGTTGAACATTTTTTCATATATCTGTTGGCTGTTTGTATGTTTTCTTGGGAGAATTGTCTATTCAGAGCTCTGCCCATTTTTAATTGGATTGTGTTTTTTGTTGTTTTTGAGTTGTACAAGTTCCTTATTCATTTTGGATAATAGCCCCTTATCGGAGGTATTGTTTGCAAATAACTTCTTGAATTCAGTTGGTTGCCTCCCTGTTTTGCTGATGGTTTCTTTTGTTGTGCAGAAGCTTTTTAATTTGATATAGTCCCATTCATTTATTTTTGCTTTTACTTCCCTTGCTTTTGACATCAAATTCATAAAATCCTCTTTGAATCCAAGGTCCATAAATTTAACCAATGCTTTTTTCTATGCAATTTATTGTTTCAGATCTTATGTTTAGGTCTTTGATTCATTTTGAATTAATTTTGGTATATGGTGAGAGATAACAGCCTAGTTTCATTCTTTTGCATGTGGCTTTCCAATTTTCCCAGCACCATTTATTGAAGAGGATTTCTTTTCTCCATTGTATGTTTTTGGCTCATTTTTTAAAAAATTATCTGCCCTGGGGCCTGCTGAGTGGCGCGATGGTTAAGAGCTGGCTTGGGACGCCAGAGGGCCCTGGTTCAGATCCCACATATGAGAGCCAGTGACACTGCCCTCCACAGCTAAGATGCTGAACAACAGCTCAACTTGGAGCTGGGCTGCCGTGGGTCGCCGGCAATGGCGTAGGCTGCAGCCCCTGTGGCATGGGTTGACATGGGCTACCGTGCATAGCCAGTGGCCAGCGTGAGCGGCCCTCAAGCCGCATTGAGCGGCCATCCAGAGGCCGGCAACTGATCTGCCTCACCCGGGAAGAGCGCAATGATGGTGCCAACTTGGGCCAGTGAAGCAACGTCCTCCACAACTAGACTGAAGAACAGAACGACAGCAACTTGTCTGTTCCCCTTCCCCCAATTCCCCAGCACTGTTCCCATCCCCCCAATTCCCCAATAAAAATCTTAAAAAAAAAATTATCTGCCCTTATACAGAAGGTGCCAAGTAAATGTATACACATGTTAAGAAAGGAAAAAACTATTAAAATTGTAATACTCAATATATACCGATAACAAAAGATGAATACAAGTTACATTTGACTTCTGAAATTACAAGAGGTGCTCTAAGTGGTTACCATCAGTGTAATTTTAATACAGTTTTTTTTTTCCTTTCTTAAAATGTGTGTACATTTTTTGGCACTCTCCATAAATGTGGTTTCATTTCTGGACTCGCAATTCTATTCCCTTGATCTCTGTGTCTGTATTTCTGCCAGTACTGCCATGCTATTTTGATTTTTGTCGCTTTGTAGTCAAAAGTGACAAATTGAAGTCAGGGAGTTGATACCTCCAGTATTGTTCTTTTCTGTCAGGATTTCTTTGGCTATTTGTGGTCTTCTGTGATATACAAATCTGATTATTTAGTTTTTTGTTCTATTTCTTTAAAAAATGCCTTTGGTATTTTCATGGGGATATTTTTACACTTTATTTATTTTGACATTCAAGGTTACTTCATATTAATTTCAGGTGTACAGCATAGTGGTCAGGCATTTATATAACTTAAGGAGTGATTCACCTGACTAGTACCAACCTGGCACAATGTGTAGTTATTACCATATTATTGACTACCGTATTTCCCCATGTATAAGACGCACCCTTTTTCAAAAAGTTTGGGCTCTAAAAACTGGGTGCGTCTTATACAGTGGTTGTAGATTTTTTATTTGCATTTCCCACTTTTTCCCACTTGTTGTCTTTCCACTCTTTGTTTCGTACTTGTTACTGGTATATTAGGTTACGTTTTGCCACGTTCTGCCCAGAAATGGCTCAGAAAAGATTTTCGTACAGTGCTGAATTCAAGTTAAAAGTGGTCCAGTTTGCAAAAGTGAATGGAAATCGTGTTGCTGAATGTAAGTTTGGTCCTCCTCCAACTGAGAAAACAATCTGAGGCTGGCTATGGTTGGGAGTTTTGACAGTGATGAAGAGTTGTATGAATTTTATGATGAATAAAACTTGAGTTCAATAACTTTATGTAATACTTTATTTTCAAATTTGGGGCCCCAAAATTAAGGTGCGTCTTATACATGGGAGCATCTTATATGTGGGGAAATATGGTATATTCTCTATGCTTTAC